CAACTTATCGAAACGACTTCCGTGCTCAATGAGCCCTGTGTCAATGACACCAAAATCTTCAAGTCTCGTTGGTTCTGACGGCAAGCACGGGTAGAACCCAACTTCGTCTCCCGCACTCGGTGCAACGTCGGACTGTGCGTCCGCAGCACCTAGGGATGTATGGCTGAATGAGCACAAGAGTCGCGCTCCGCGCACGCTATCAGCGACGAACGACCTAGTTGAGGATGTGGGGTTGGTCGACTACGAGTCTGACGCCCTTTTTCCCGCATGGGATGACGAAGAAGGCGAGCTGCACCAGCAGCGTGATATGAGCCCTGCTCGCGCCCTGCGGACCCCATGTCCGTTCCCTGACTTCTCGTCAATTGAGGAACGTGGTGTAATCACCAACGACCTCGACGGGGAACAGAGGCGACAGCTTGAAGCTGCCCATAAGGAGGCTCTAAAGCGCGCCCATCCACGGTCGGTCATTGACCCTCGTGTGGAATTTGGCTTCCGCTTTGCGGATCCCGCTTTGGAAGCGAAGGACGCTGTAACTCGATCGTTACGCGTCCACATCATCGGGACCCCGGCCAGAACGGAAGATGAGCTTGCCAAACGAAAGGCTCTTCGAGCTCGATTCTTGGCTCCCAGGAATTTCCGTTGGAAGCTTATCGCATTCGTCTGAGCGCTCAGCGAGGTGGCTCTCGTGTACCCGCAATGCGGACAATACCTGTGTGCTCGCCCCTGTCGAAAGCGCTACAGATGACAAAACGCTCTTTGAGCGATGGGTGCAACGGCACCGGAAACTTTCCTCACTGCATAACCTGCAGTTGAGCCACAAGGAAGTGGACGTGCTTGTTGAGCGACACGTCCAATTTGATATTGCCAAACTCAAGGCACGCCGTCGACTTTCTTCGGATTGACGCCCTGAGACGTATGAGCTAACCCCTAATGCTTCCGCCAGCTCAGGGCTTTGACCGCAAGAGCTCAGGGCCACTGCTTGAGCTCAACTCATGGCACGTCGACTTCTCTGACTATTGCTGGGAAGCGCGGGTTCTGATCTTTTCGATCGAAACCGTCCACGGCGACTGGGTAAT